CCGAGGGTTCACGTCGGTGTCTTCATCGCTGTTGGGGCCGTCCTTAAAATGACCTCCTTTCTTTCTCTTCTCACTCGAATGAGTGAACTTCTTGACCTGTGGGTCATCGATCAGCTTGAGCAGTGCCGAGATTAGGTTGTGGCACTGGTCAGTATTATGCCCGTGCGCTTTATGATAGGTGTAGTATCGGGACTTGTCCACCTTGTCCTTGTCGGTAAACATCAGATTGGGATCTGGTAGTAACCCCTTGGTTTTGATCTCCTCGTAGTCTACGGCAGCGCCTACCGAGAAGACGCCCTAATAGCTCTCTTTGAGCTCCTCAGCTCTCTGCCTCCTCATGGCCCGGACTTCCGTGAATTATTTACTGGGCTTCCCCGATTTCTTTTTGTTTTTGACTTTACTCGGCGCGGCATCCAGTACCGGGATGGACGAAGATTCCTCGGCCATGTTGTAGTTTTGAGCACGGATAAGGAATTCTTGGTATGTGGTGGGCTTATTTTGGCAAAGGGACCATTTGAACAGAGTTTTCGGCTTCAGACCGGCCTGCGCCGAGATCAACAATGCTTCAGGGTGACACTGCTTCATGTTTTGAACGCGATCGTTGAAACAAGCGATGTAGTCTTTTAAGCTCTCGTCCTCTCTTTGGACGATGCTGGCAATGGATTCCTTGGGGGCGAGGTTGATCTGCGATCCGATGAAGTGTGATCAGAATGCCGACCTGAGCTGCCCCCAGTTGGAGATAGAGTGTGGATAAAGGGAATGGTACCACCTCTGCGCTTTGGGTCCCAGCGTCAGGGAGAACATACGGCAACGCAGAGCGTCTGTCGCGCCGTGTAGATCCATCCACGAAGTATAGAGCCCAATGTGGGAGTCAGGGTCCGAGCTTCCATCGTAAAGTTCGACCTCGGAATTCGAAAATAAAACTAGAAAGCGATAAAAATACAAGAGGAACTCAGAACTCAAAGTTTGGATAACGCCTCCTGATATCGTCCTCCCTTTCCCAAGTCGCCTCGGTCTCATCGTATCGGCTCCACTGAACCTTCACTAAGCTCACTGCCCGGTTCCTCAGCTGGTGGACCTTCCGGTCCAAAATGACTGTCGGTACCTCCTCATAGGTAAGGTCTCGCTCGACCTGCCGCTCGCCGAAGTCCACCACATGATCGGGGTTATGCACATATCTCCGAAGCATCGAGACATGGAACACGTCGTGCACTCCCGACAAGTCTGGTGGTAAAGCCAGCCGACACGCTAAGTTCCCGACTCGATCGAGGATCTCAAATGGCCCGATATAACGAGGTCTAAGATTCTCCTTCTTCCCGAAGCGAATCACACCTCGCATGGATGAAACCTTCAAGAAGACATGATCTCCCACAGCATAAACATGCTCCTGCCTCTTCCGGTTGGTATAGACCTTCTGCCTCTCCTAGGCAGACCTGATAGTCCTCCGAATCTCCTCGACTGTCGCAGCAGTACTCTGGACAAAATCTGGGCCCGTAATCCTCCTCTCTCCAACCTCATTCCAATACAAAGGAGTACGGACCATACGTCCGTACAAAGCCTCGTACGGGACCATCTTGATCGAAGAGTGGTAGCTGTTGTTGTAGGTCAGCTCGACTAGCGGAAGGGCATACTCCCAAGTCAGGCTCCGGTCCAAGACCACAGCCCTCAAGATATCCTCCAAGTACTAGATCGTACGCTCCGACTGACCATCTGTCTCGGGGTAAAAGGTTGTACTGAACTCCAACCTCGTCCCCATGGCTCGGTGCAACGTCCTCCAGAACTAACACGTGAACTTGGGATCTCGATCAGAAACAATCTCCACGGGCACTCCATGAAGCTTAACAATGTCCTTGACGAACAATTCGGCGTAATCACTCGCCTTCATTGTCGTCCGGACTGGCAGAAAATGGGCAGACTTCGTAAGGCGATCCACTATCACCCAACTCGAGTCATGCCCAGCCCTCGACCTCGGCAGTCCAATCAAGAAATCCATGGTGATGCACTCCCACTTCCACAGGGGAACCTCAAGGGGCTGCAACAACCCTCTCGGTTTCTGATGCTCAGCCTTCACTTGCTGACACACCAGGCACCCATCCACGAACTTCGCTATCTGCCTCTTCATGCCACGCCACCAGAAAGACTTCTTCAAGTCCTGATACATCTTAGTGCTACCAGGATGGATGGTGTACGGAGCACTATGGGCCTCTCTCAGAATCTCTCTCCGCAGTTCCCACACCTTCAGAACACAAAGTCTACCCTCGAAGACCAAGGCCCCATAAGATGCGACTGCGAAACCACCAACTCTACCAGCTGCTGACAACTCTCTCATCCAGCATAAGAAACGGTCATTCGGTTGTTCGGCGACTATCCTCTCTCGAAGAGTCGGTCCCACAATCAAAGAGGCCAACATGCCCCCGGCTGCTGAAGTCGACTCCACTGCCTCTAGCCGCAATCGCTCGAACTCCCGAAGAAGGACATCCTGCCCGGTAAACAAGCAAGATACCTGGCAATAACTCCTCCGACTAAGGGCATCGGCTACCACATTAGCTTCTCCAGGGTGATAGCTAATGGTGCAGTCGTAGTCCAGCTCCAACCATCTACGCTGCCTCATGTTCAGCTCCTTATGAGGGAAGATGTACTTTAAGCTCTTGTGGTCGGTAAAGATCTCACACTTGCCCCCACAGAGGTAGTGCCGCCATATCTTCAAGCCGTGGACAACTGCAGCTAACTCGAGATCATGAGTGGGGTAGTTCTACTCGTGAGGCTTCATCTGCCTCGAAGCATAGGCAACGACTTTCCCTTGCTTCATAAGAACACAACCCAAACCCATCTTCGAAGCATCACTATAGATGGTGAACTCTAAAGTAGGGTCGGGTATAGATAGGACAGGCGCGGTAGTGAGTCTCCTCTTCAACTCCTGGAAACTCTCCTCGAGAAGCCCTCGATAAACCTCCTGTAGTATCCTGCTAACCCCAGGAAACTACGAACATCTGCAGCACTTCTTGGCGTATCCCATTTGCTCACCGCCTCAATCTTACTGGGATCCACCTCAATGCCTCGAGTTGTCACAATGTGGCTAAGGAATGCCACACGGTTCAGCCAGAACTCGCACTTCGAGAACTTAGCATACAACTTCTCGCGGCGAAGAGTCTCCAGCACAATCCTCAAATGCTCATTGTGCTGATCGATATCTCGGGCATAGACCAGAATGTCATCGATGAACACAATGACGAACTGGTCCAGGAAAGGATGAAAGACCCTACTCATAAGGTCCATGAAAATGGCCGGGGCATTACTGAGTCCGAAAGGCATGACTACGAACTCATAGTGGCCATAGCGGGTACAGAAAGCAGTCTTGGAAATATCCGACTCCCGGATCTTCAGCTGATGATAGCCAGAACACAAATCAATCTTTGAGAAGACGATGGCTCCTCTCAGCTGGTCGAAAAGGTCCTCAATACAGGGAAGGGGGTACTTGTTCTTGACTGTAAGGGCATTCAACTCCCGATAGTCAATGCACATGCGCATAGATCTGTCTTTCTTCTTCACGAATAGGACGGGCGCACCCCACGGCGAGACACTCGGACGAATAAAACCGAGTTTAAGCAACTCCTGGATCTGGGCCTTGAGCTCTTGAAGCTCCTTCGGCGCCATACAATAAGGGGCCTTAGAAAGGGGCCCATCTCCAGAAATTAGGTCAATGGTGAACTACACCTGGCAGTCGGGCGGTCCTCTGGGTAAATCATCAGGAAAGACGTCGAGGTACTCGCAAACAATGGATACTCTCTCGGGTACCCGTTCATCAACAACATCAGATACCAAGGAGACGAGATAGCCTTGACAACTACCCTTGGAAAGGCTCTTTCTAACTTGCATAGAAGAGATGACTCGAGGCACAGTCCTCGAATTCACCCCATAAAACACAACAGGCTGATCGGAAACGGGATAGAGAGTGACTTCGCGCTCCTGGCATCGGATATCGGCTCGGTAACGGGTGAGCCAGTCCATGCCCAAGATCACGTCAAAGTCTCGCATATCAATTACATAGACGTCGGCCTCTAGAACTCGACCACCAATACAGATAGGAAGATTGCGAACCACTGAATCAGAGATAATCATTTTTCTCGAGGCTAAACTAACCTCAAGAGGATCACAAGAATGCACGGTTCTAATAGATAAGGCCTCCAAGCAACAAGAAGAAATAAAAGAGTGGGTAGCACCGGTATCACATAAAGAAAAAACAGGCACATGGGATATTGAAAACATTCCGGACATGGTACCTGCATTGCGGGCAGCCTCATCGTGGGTGATGGTGTAGACACGGGCCTGACCCCCAGCCCTCTGCTGGAACGGTGGGGGCTGCTGCAGCTGATGAGGTGGCGGTGGGGAAGCTGCTGCTGTTGCAGAGGGAACTGCTGC